GGAGCGCGCACACTTAACCACTAAGACACAGGGCCGGCCCTCCATTACTTAATTTTAGAACATTTTCATCACCCCCAAAAGAAACTCTGTAACCAATAGCAGTCACTCCCCATCACGCTTTTTCGCCAGCCCCTGGCAACCACTAATCTACTTTCTGTCTCTATTGATTTGCTTGTTTTAGACATTTTATATAATTGTAATTGTACAATATGTGACTTATTTGTAACTGGCTTCTTTCACTTAGCATAATGTATTCAGAGTTCATCCATGTAGCAGTACCTCATTTAATTTTATTGCCAAACAACATTCCGTTGTATAGAAATACTATGTTTTGTTTATCCATATCAGTTGATGGACTTTTGGATTGTTTCCACTTTTTGGCTATTATGATCAATGCTGCTATGAACATCTGTGTACAAGTTTTTGCATGTATGTATGTTTTCATTTCTCTTGGGTATATACTTAGGAGTAGAATTGCTGGGTCATATGATAAATCTAGGTTTAACATTTTGCGGGACTGATAAGCTGTTTCCCCACAGCAGCTGCACCATTTTACATTGCCACCAGCAACGTACAAGGGTTCCAATTGCTCCATGTCCTAACCAAGACTTGTTACAGATGTCTTTTTTTTTTTAAAGATTTTATTTATTTATTTTATTTCCCCCCAAAGCCCCAGTATATAGTTGTATGTCATAGCTGCACATCCTTCTAGTTGCTGTATGTGGGACTCGGCCTCAGCATGGCCAGAGAAGCGGTGCGTTGGTGCGCGCCGGGGATCCGAACCCCAGGCCGCCAGCGGCGGAGCACACGCACTTAACCACTAAGCCACGGGGCCGGCCCTACAGATGTCTTTTTTATTTTAGCCATCCTCGTGAATGTGAAGTGGTATTTCATTGTGGTTTTGATTTGCATTTCCCTAATGAGTAATGATGTTGAGCATCTTTTCATGTGTTTATTGGCCATTTGTATGTCTTCTTTGGAGAAATGTCTACTTAGAGCCATTTTAAGTTCACGGCAAAATTGAGCAGAAGGTAGAGTTTTCCCATATACTCTCTGCCCCCACACATGCATAGCCCCGCCCCCGCATTATCAATATACCCACCAGAGTGGTACATTTGTTACAATGAATGAACCTACACTGACACATCATAATCACCCAAAGTCCATAGTACACATTACAGTTCACTCTTGGTGTTGTACATTCCATGGGTTTGAACAAATGTATAATGACATGTAGCCATCATTATACTGTTGTACAGAGTATTTTCACTGCCCTAAAAATCCTCTGTGCTTCGCCTATTTACTCCTCCCCTACCTCCAAAACCCTAGCAACCACTGATGTTTTTACTGTCTCCATAGCTTTGCCTTTTCCAGAATGTCATTTAGTTGGAATCATACAGTAGTTAGACTTTTTGGATTGGCATCTTTCACTTAGTAAAATACATTTAAGGTTCCTCCATGTCTTTTCATGGCTTGATAGCTCATTTCTTTTTAGTGCTGAATAATATTTCATTGTCTGGATGTACCACAGTTTATCCATTCACCAACTGAACAACATCTTAGTTTCTTCCAAGTTTTGGCAATTATGAATAAAACTGCTATAAAATTTGTGTGCAGGTTTTTATGTGGACATAAGTTTTCAACTCGTTTGGGTAAATACCAAGAAGTGTGATTGCTGGATTGCATGGCAAGAGTATGTTTAGTTTTGCAAGAAACCGCCAACTGTCTTCCAAAGGAGCTGTACCATTTTGCTTTCCCATCAACAATGAATGAGAGTTCTTTGCTTATTTAATTTTGTGAGGAAGATTAACCCTGAGCTAACATGCGATGCCAATCCTCCTCTTTTTGCTGAGGAAGACTGGCCCTGGGCTAACATCCATGCCCATCTTCCTCCACTTTATATGGGATGCCGCCACAGCATGGCTCGACAAGTGGTGTGTCGGTGCGCGCCCAGGATCTGAACCTGTGAACTGGGGGCCGCAGAAGCAGAGCGCGTGCACGTAACTGCTACGTCACCAGGCAGGCCCCTTTGCTTATTTTTTAATTGGGTAATTTACCTTTTTATTGTTAAGTGTAAGAATTTTTAAAAAACATATTCCGGATACAAGTCCCTCATCATTCTGACTGCTGGGCCTTGCTGTCATCTGCATCTCTCTTGGCCATATGGAAGAAGCATTCTGCTGCTCTGAATGCCATGCTGTGGTGGGGAGTTTGAGGGCCCTTTGATACTCCTTCAGGCCCATCTACACAGTAAGACACCTGCTGTTCTTTGTGTTCTATGGCTGTATCTCCATGGAAGGTGGGAAAAACTGGCTCTTTAATTAGCATGTTCTTTATAATCTTTTGTTTAGATCATAAATTTTATGCCCTAAGTCATTCAGGTTCTTGAGGTTCAATACCCAGAAACCAGTCTTTAAATCTCAAACTCTTTTCTCGAATTATTGTCTCTGCCATCAGCTTTAAAATCTATTTTAAAATTCTAAAAGCAAGAATTTGACTCATTTGCTGCTTGCCTCCCTGATGCCTCTGGTTGAGTTTGAATGAGAGCAGGGGCCAGGACATAATACTGCAAAATATTATGTTGCTATATAAGATGGGTGTCCAAAAGCAGGCTGAGTCCAAACAGGCAACAGGTTGCACAGGTGGTGACAGAAAGGGAGCCCGGTGTCATTCTGAAGAAGGAATGTTCAGTTTTGTGCTTGTTGAGTTAGAAAAGCCCAGACACCTGTGTGGAGAACTGATGACTGTGGGTTCTAAAGGTCAGGAGCTGAGAGGGGAGGTCTGGAGTGGAGATGCCGTTTGGGAGGCACTAGCATCTAGATGGGTTTAAAAACCGTTCAGAGACTGAGTAGAGAAGGAGCCAGCAAAAGAAGGGAAGCAACCATAGCTTGTCACACCATGGCTGAGGTTACCTGGGGCCTGGACAGGGGAAGCTAGGGGCCCTAGCCACAGTCTCTGCAACTGTAAGGCTCTTGGGTCCTCCCAATTTTGGCCTCAGGTGACCCCCACCCCCTTTTACTTTCTTCCTTTTCATCAATATGCAGTATACACTGGCACCTAAAAAGGCATTTGTGTTTATAGATCCTTCATTATTTTTTTTCCTCTCTCCTCTGTTAAAATAAAATAAAAAATATGCTTCATGCACACAAAAATGGAAAAACACAACACAGCACACACACACACACACACACCATTAAACAGAAGTAAATACTAACAAAAACCAAGATTAAAACTTCTCAAAATGTTGAATTTTTGGGTTTGGTGTGGGAGTAGGAATAAGGGAGACACAATTCTGGTTTTCCCTGTGGCAGTTTCTAATTTCTGTCTCTTAATGCCAGACAGAAAATAGGCAGCTAGTGCATCTCTCTGCCATCCTCTCACCCCATTTCTGCACTCAACTGTGTCTGCCTCTTGAGTTATCAGATAAACAGTGGGAACAATTTCAGGCACTGGTGCAGGTGAGGATATTTACCTATTAAATTTAATATAGGTATACCTGATGTCAGTTTTCTTTATTCTTACAAAATTATTTGGTTAAACTTTAAAATATCTAAGTAATGCAAACATTAATCGCTGCCCTTATCAGCACTAGTGTCTTGTATATCGTAGATGCTCAATAAATGTTTGCTAAATGAGTATACACATTTATATAGTATATGTATCTCCCTTGCCTCCTTGCAAAACCAAAGATGGGTAGGGAGACCAGGAATAACAGTAGAAGAACATTCTTTTCCCCTACTCCTTCCTCTTCATTCTCTTCCCATCTTTCTTCAAATTCCGTTCTGGGCCTGCCCTTTCCCACTCTCCCATCTTCATCTGATGGAAACACTTTCACTTTTGTCTCCATCATATTTTACTGTGATTTGTAAATTCACGCACAGAGAAGGTATCCTTTTAAACATTTGGATTTGTAAAAAGAAAATTTACAAAGTTGATTATTATAAATTTAAATTAATGATTCGAATTCTCCAAGTTTCTAAGCTAATCACAGTAAGCCCGTCAGGTCATTTTCGCTGCACCTGAGCAAAAATGCATCTGCATTCCTATTAAGCGGATCTGCAGGATGAAATCTAAGTTCACCTCTCACTCTCATCTAAATACAGAAAAACAAAATCAATAAAAACCTATACATGCTTATTAAGCATTTAAGGGGAGTTTGAATAAAGGGCGGAGGCTTCGAGCAGTGATTCCTGAGTTTTCTGAAACTCAAAGCCAATAACCAATGCCAATGAGTAATCCTTTGCATCCCTCACCTATAGGATAGTAGAAGTAAAGAACAGGAGAGGGGAGAAAAAGCGTTACATTTTAAAAGAAAGTATAAATCTTAAAACGAAAAAGCCGTCGGAACTGACAATGTAAACGACTTTGGAAAAGAACCAAGGCAGGCATAGCGTGGAACATCGCAGGCCCGCGTCCCGGTCCCCGGCCCACGCAGCTGACTGGGGGAAGGCTCCACCTCTAGGGACAATTTCATTGGCGCTCACCTGCTCACTCACGCCAGCCCCACCTCCTCCTTCGCATGCGCATGACGGGGAAAAGCCGCTCGGCCGTCTTCGTAGTCTTCCCCACCCCCGAATTCCGAACTCCGATTGGTCCGTTTCATGGGACCGCCCCTTCGGCCCAACCAATGTGGAAGGCGCCTCGGTGCTCCGCCCTCCCTGCGGGCAGAGAGCCGCGGCGTAGCTTGCAAACGCGGGCGGCGAGTGGGGATGGCGGCGGGAGCGGGGACTGCGGGCCGGCTGTTGAGGCTTCGTGCAGCCGGGGCCGGGGGACGCTGGCGTCGGCTGCGTGGCGCGGGGGTGCCGCGGGGCTTCCTGCAGCCCGCCTCGGCCGGCGAGGATACGGCCCAGAGTCGGCGGGTGGCTCACTTCACTTTCCAGCCCGACCCGGAGCCCCTGGAGTACGGTGAGCTGGGGGCTGCCGTGTCCGCTCCCGCCGCAGCCGAGGCTCGCGGCCCCGCGGGCACTGGCAAGGAGTGCAGCCTCGCGCGTGCGGGGCGGGGACCGGCGGGCTGATCTCCTCGCATAATCCCTGCCCTGCTCTCTGGACTCTGGTCCTGCTTTAGAGTCTGGCTCCGGTTTTCTCCTCGCTCTAGTTTTGTGACTCTTCCACCTTCTAGAGGCAGTCCCTTGGCCCCCTCGAGATGGGGGAGAGGGCACACCGAAGTCTAGAAGGGCCTGAGGGTGGAGGTGGTGGTGCCCAGGGAACGCCTCCCTTTCTTCGTTCTCCATCCTTGCTTTCCCAACCTTGGCCTTAGGTACTGTCCCAGCTTGCCCGGGGCTGGGCCGCTAAGTACAAGCAGCGGTATTAAAAGAAACAGATTTTTTTCTTTGCTTTGGCAGGTAAGAGATAAGGGAGGAACTTAGTAACTGAATTGATTTTCCTAAGGTCACAGAACACGTTCTTCCCAGAGACAGGAAAGTTCTTCCCAGGCTTCGTATTTGAGCCTAGTACTAATCTTGTGCTGGGCTAGGCTGCCCCTTAGCCAAGGAGGGGTAATCGATGTAGGTGACGGGAGGAGGAAGCCATCTAGTGCTTCCAATGGTAGGAAGGACATGTAGCACACCTCACGTCGCACAATATGACAGTTGCATGACTTGTACGATATCTTCTGCAAGTTTTATGTAGTCTCCAAAAGATCCAGTGTCTAGCATCAGAACATCGGAAACAATAAGAAAACGGTTACCTTTTCCTTGTCTAATAACTTCTCATATGCTGGCACTGACATTTTTGGAAGTGTGTCTTGTGAATACTAAGAGTGAACATTTATTGAGTGCTTACTACGAGCAGGCAGTGTGCAGAGAAATTTACATTCATCATCTCATTTGATGCTTAGGACAACCTAGAGGTAGGTAATGTTTTTATTCCCATTTTTCAGTTAGGTAAACTGAGGTCTTGAGATAGTTTGTCCAAGGTTACAACGACAAGTTAGTGGTAGCTTTAGCTTTGGAATTGTAATTATTCAAGTTCCAGAGCTTCCATTATAAACAATGTGCTAAATAAAATGCATGTAGAAGTAATTTACTAAGAGGTGTTGCAGTTTTGTGAAACACTCAGCAAATACTACAAAGGTGAATAGCAATTTTTTTCTCACCAACAAGATGAACCTCGAATTCTGTCTTCAAAGCAACGAAACTTTAGTCCAGTGCTTGAGAAATAGAGCACGATAGGTCTGCTCAACCCCCTTCCATAATTGTGCAATTACTAAAATGTGAATAAAATGATCATCATATTTATATCCCCATTGGGAGGTAGTTTTCTGGAACAGGAAAGAGATGGTGAGTTCTGGAAATAGAGCTTGGTAGAACTAGATTTTAAGCTATAATTTGGAAGTAATGTATTTGGAAGTAGGATTTGATGGATTGTATAGAAGGAATGAATAAAAAGAGGACATTCAAGGATGCCTCCTTGGTTTCTGGCTTGGGCGCTTGGGTGGAGGGTAGTGCTGTTTGCTCAGATGGGAAAGACTGGTTTTGGGAGCAGACATCAAGAGTTCAGTTTTGTGCTTGTTGAGTTAGAAAAGCCCAGACACCTGTGTGGAGAACTGATGACTGTGGG